TCTTTTATTTGTCTCACATTTTTTCTTTTCTTTTCTTTTCTGTTTTCTTTTGTCCGAAATTTTCTTATCGATGCAACGTTTCAAACGCGCATTCGGAATCATCTTACTTTTTCTTTCCTTTTTTCTTTTTTATCTCCTCCTTTTTCTTTTCCTGTGTGATGCAACGTTTATTGTTCATAGAAACACTAAAAATCATACACACACACACGCACACGCACACACACACACACACACGCACGCGCGCATATCGATCGATTACCTAAAAAAAAATATACGATCGAATGCCGCGAGTACGATACGAGAGACGATATTATTTCCACCGATTATAATCGATAATATTTTTTTATTTTATTCCTTTATTTTTTCTTACTTTATCACCTTACTGACACTATCTCTTTTTCTCTCTTCCTTCATCCTAATCATAATTTTCGTATGATCATCATAATGTAATTAATAAACATATCCTCTCTCCCTTTCGCCATCTTTCTTTTCGTTTTGTTTATTAGATACAATTTATTTTTAAATGTCGTTTTGTATGTGTATGTGTGTGTGTATTTGTGTGTGTACGCATATATGTGTGTACGTGTGCTTCTTTGGTTTTTTTCTTTTTAATTTAATTTATTTTAATTTAATTTTATTTTATTTTATTTTATTTTATTTAGTTAATTTTATTTTATTTATTTGTTTTTTTTTTTTTTTTTTTTTTTGTTAATTATTCTTAACTCTCTTTGTTTAATCGCTACGACGACGCTTAGGTACATTTTAAAATACGCTACACGTTCTTACGACTGTCTCTTTTCGTATCGAATCGAATTTCAATCTTATTACAAATCGTCTTAAATTTTTAATACATCGCTCAGGTCTCTCTTGATTCTTGATTTATTTATTTTTCTTTTTTTTTTTTTTTCTTTTTTTTTTTTTTAATTTCTAGAAACAGATTATACGTGTATCCCTAAAGATCGACAAGAAGGCGAACGCTTTTAATACTCCTTTATTTATTTATTCATTTATTTATTTATCTATTTTTTTATTTAATTAAATTTTTCCTTTCCTTTTTCCTTTGTTCATTAATTCTCGTTCGTTTATGTAAAGTTCGGAGAGATCGAAACGATCATTGTTGTTTTTGACGAGAAATAAATAAAACAAAAGAAAATGGAGAAAGAGGAACGTGATAATGATCGATATTATAAGAAGGACGAATCGATCCTGTCGAGAGGAATCCTTTGTAGAAAAAATTGGATTCGATCCTCGGGACAAAAACGTTCGCTATAACGTTCGTCTTCCCTCGATTTTATTTTATTATACTTTTGTTTTCTTTTTTTTTTTCTTTTTTCCTTTCTTTTTTTCCATTAATTCTTCTAATTCCATCTCTTCTTTATTAATTTCTTTTTATCCTTCCTCCTTTCGTTAATTATTATATATACATTCGATTATCGCCAAAAAGACAGTCGTAATCTTCACCTACGTCTTGAAAGTACAATCATCGTAAGCGAAGCTTCTGGATGGATTCCACTTTAGTTTTTTTGTTTGTTTTTTATTTTCTCTAGCGGAACAACGATGGACGCTCTTTAAAATCATCGATTAGGATACTTCAGAAAAGATCTAGAAAAAGAGACACAGAAAAAGAGAGAGAGAGAGAGAAATGGAGGAAGAAAGAGAAAAAGAGAGAGAGAGGAAGAGGAAGAGAGAGAGAGAGAGAGAGAGGAAGAGGGAGAAAGAGAGAGAAATAGAGATAAAAAAACGAACGAAGAACAAAAATAAGGACGAATTTTCATATTTCTGATATTTCTGCCTCTCTCTTTCTCTTTCCTTCTTTTTACACACACATACACGCCCACACACACACACACACACGCACGCACGCACGCACGTATATATATATATATATATATCTCTTTTTTCGTTTTCTCTTCCTCTCCATTGAAATTTCGCGTAATTAAGTTGCGTCTTCGTTGATCCGAAGAGAATTCACAGACGGAAACATTAAATCACCACCATCGCGTGTCGTCACTCATCGCAGTCATTACCACATATAGAGATTTTTCGTTACTTTTTTGTTTTTTTTTTTTTTTTATTATTATTATTATTTTTTATTTATTTATTTATTTAATTATTTATTTATTTTTCTCGAAAAAAGAACACACACACACTCACTCTCACACACACATACACACACAACACATACTTACATACACGCGCGCTCACGGACGCGTATGCAACACGTACACGCGCACACGCATACAAGATATAATATCGACATTTGCATTATGAAATGGATTTTTTTATTCGTACGAATTTAAACGAAAAACTATATGTCTTTCGATAAAGATTTACGAAGAGGAAAAATATTATTCTAACTTATCAAACTCGTTATCACACGTAGGAATGAAAAATTGATATAGACGTTATTAAGAAAATATCTGATAGTGATCAGAAAAAAGGGAGGAAAAGAGAGTGTGTGTGTGAGAGAGAGAGAAAGAGAGAGAGACAGAGAAAGAGAAAGAGAGAGAGAGAGAGAGAGAGAGAGAGAGAGAGAGAGAGAGAGAGAGAGAGAGAGAGAGAGAGAGAGAGAGAGAGAGAGAGAGAGTGAGAGATAGAGAGAAACAAAAACAGAGACAAAGATAGAGACAGAGACAGAGAGAGAATTCTTTTTTCTTGAGATCTTCGAGATTGATAAACGTATATACATATATATGTGTGTGTTGTGTGTGTATACATATATATATATACATATATATACACATATGTATGCATTTATGTAGGCGTGTCTCGAGATGTGAAAATAATTGATTATAGTGCGGATGTTACGCGTGGTGTACGCTGTGCATTTTAAATTCCTGGAAGACAAGTTATAATTAGGATCCCGTGCTGCTTGTGTCGTAAAAAACTATCTCGTTCTTCTCGATTCTCCAACAGAATCGGCAAACAGAAAAAAATAATAAAAAAGATAGCCTGCACGTAAATCTGTGTTGTGTGTGTATGTGTGTGTGTGTGTGTGTGTATGCGTGTATGTATATGTAAATATGTATATTAATCATTTACATTTAATCAAAAGAAGAAAAAAAAAACAAAAAAAAAATTGTTTTCAATAAAAAAAATAAATAAATAAACGACAAAAATAAAGAGAGAAAAAGAAAAAAAATTAAGCCAGGATGTGATATTCCTTGTGCATTTTTTCTCTCTTATTTTTCTTCTTTCTCTTCTTTTACTTCTTCTTCTTCCTCTTCTTCTTCTTCTTCTTCTTCTTTTACTTCTTCAACTTTTTCTTCATTTTTTTTTGTCTTCGTTTATTTTGTCGATTTTG